GCTGCTGCTCCTCCCAGCGCCCCCGACGCCATGCACCCGTCTCGCGCTGCACAGCAGCTACCACGCGCCGCTCGCCGCCGTTCTCGACGCGCTCTGCGCCGCCGCCCCCTCACCGCGCCGGCGGCCCGTCCTCCTCGTCGTCGCCGTCGCCGCCCCCATCCTCGCCCGGCGGCGCCGCCAGCCAGCAGCGTCCGTCGTCCGCTGGCGCGCCGCGCAGTCCCTCCTCGCGGGCGTCTACTCGCTCCTCGCCGCGCTGTGCGCCGAACGGGGCATCGACACCGACATGGGCGCCGCGACCCCCCGCAGCGTCGACGCCCGCGTCGTGCTGGTCGACCACGCCCGCGGCTGGACCTACCAGCCGCGCTGCGCAGACGACGGCAGACCTCACACTTGGACCGGCACGCCGGTGCTGGACCTGGCTGGGTTCGCGACGGCGGTGACGGGCCCGTGGGATACCATCTACCACCCGAGCAGCGAAGCGGGCTACGAGCTGCTGCGGGCGTACCTCGCACTCGCAGAGGGCAGGCAGGTCATTCGGCAGCGCCAGATCGTGTCGGTGCCGGGCGGCATCAGCATCTCGCCGTCTGCTGGCGCGCCAGACGAAGCTGACGAGGCGGACAAGAGCTACGAGACCGTCATCCTGGGCGGCACCTTTGACCACTTGCACCCCGGCCATAAGCTTCTCCTCCACGGGACGGTGCTGCTCCTGCGCCTCCCCGCCGCTGGCACCACCACGCCTCCTGGCACGCTCATCATCGGTGTATCCGGGGACCCGATGCTGCAGAGCAAAAAGTTTGCCTCGGAGCTCGAATCCTGGGACACGCGCTGCCGGAGCGTCCTCTCGTTTCTCGCCACGACTCTCAACGTCACCCCGCCGTCTGCTGGCGACCCCCACAGCGCCCCCAACACCGGCAGCTACCGCGTCGAGCATGTCGCCGCGGGCCTCTCGGGCGGCCCCGAGATGCACGGCGTCTACGCCGATGGCGCTGTGCGCGTGCGCTGCACCGTGCTCAACGACGCGTTTGGCCCCACGGTGGATGAGCGCCCGATTGGCGCCATTTGCGTCTCGGGCGAGACGCGCGGCGGCGGCCGCGCCGTCAACGACAAGAGGGAAGCCAAGGGCTGGCATGCCCTTGACGTGTACGAGGTTGATGTCCTGGACACGCGTGGCATGACGGACGGCGATGGCCCCGGCGACGACAACTTTGCCGCCAAGATTAGCAGCACTGCCATCCGCCAGCAGAGGGCCGAGGCCAAGGCCAAGACCAAGGCCCAGATTTGAGTCGACAATTGGGGTTGGCAGGAGATTTGTATAGCATAGCATGTAATAAGAGATATTCGAGTATATTGGTACAAGCATTTGGCAACAGCGAGTGTGTGAACTCAATGTAGTAGGCTATTTCCCATCTACGCCATCAATTATCTGACCATAATCACTTCGTTATACAAAAATCACGCCAGATGGACGAAGAAATGTGAATACAGCCTAATCAAAACTCCAATGATCATGTCTTGATAAGTTCGTCAATATGGACACGTTCGAAAAAGCTGATGTGTCCGAACCCAACCCAGTATTGCGCCAGTCGGTTATGCGATAATAAAATAAGCTGACTCTCGATGAACTTGTCTAAAAAAATCGGTTAGCTCATGTTTCGCATATCGACGGTTTATTGCGGTGGATTGTACGTACCCCGATGGAACCCGGCCGCAGCCACATGCCCCTTGCTTTTCACCATGCGAGCACCAGCGAACAATTCGTCCTGAGCATCGCCCACATAGCCAGCAGGGCCAAGATCATCAGCCACAAATGTATATTCGCCGCGAGGTATATTTGGGTCCCCCGTCAGCTTAATGGCTTCCAATCGGCCTCTGTATATTCGCGCGTCGAGCCACCTCTTTCGCCATTCCTTCTCACTCTCTGTGTCACCTCGCTCCAGCCCAAGTTCGAGATCGGTGGCTGGAGGATCGTCTGGCTGGTTCACCAATAGAAATTCGCAGCCGTGACCACTGTAGTCACCGACCCAGATCCCACGCCACGGTTTCGTAGCCGTCGGTGTGTATAGTGTGGGATCTAGAGTGGAGTAAGTGACGATTTCTTCACCAATATGCACGCCAATGGGAGCTGCACCGCCGTTGCCGTTAGGTAAAGGCGCAGCAGCCCAGGACAATGGCGGCGGCCATGTCCCGGTGAGCTCCATCCACTGCCTAATGCGGAAGGTCTGATCGGACACTTCAGACCGGCTTCGAGGCCTGTCATAAGTGGATGTTCGCGCCACGGCTTGACCGGATTCAATGCCGGCAACATGGTGTCGTGCCGGGATCGCTGGTGGTGGCCAGATGTGGTGGTAAGGGTAATCGGCCGAAAGGCTTTTGTCGGCCTCTTCGGGATCCAGTGGCCGTGTCAGCATGAAGTTGCTGTACATGCCTGCCAGTCGGTCATCCAGAGTCATGGGCATTTCATCAGAAAAACGGTTAGCGCCGGGACGATTGCGAAAATCTCGTTCCGCTTTGCCTTCTTTGTGCACTCTGAACTGCAAGACTGGTTTGTCCAGATGTAGGCTGACTTTGGGCTCAAATCCATGGATTATGACCTCGCTGTCCGCAGGCCAGTGATCATAAGAGTCTTTGCGACTGACGGCGAGTAGCTGGTACGCTTCAATGCAGCCTCTCCGTTGGTCATAACGAGCCAGGATAAGTTTGCCCATGAGGTCGCGATCGCTGAACCATATTTTGTATCTTGGCAAGAACCATAGTCGGTCGAGAGCAGAGTATAACTGCCGATATGTTTTGCATGGGCCCGGGGTCGAGAGCCAGACGCCTGGGACGTTGCGTTGGATGCAGCGGTGCCAGTGCAGCTCAGACACAGCATATTCGCGCAGGGTGCGGCAAGTTGCCGTGACATTCAAGAGATCGAATGGGGCAAGGTACGACAAGACCGCATGCAGGAGTTCTGCAGGTATGCTGAGAAGTGGTGTCACATTTTCTTTCTTGTGCGGCTCCATACGGGTCCCCGGCAGCGTGTGCAGGGGCGCATCGCTATGTAATCGATTCATCAAGTCATCTAAATTTTCTTGGAGAATTCCGTGTCAGCAACCGAAATTCTTTGTGAAGTTTCTGCCTCTTCCCAGAAGGCATGCAGTCAACTTTGAATGCACCTGCGTTAGACGCGAGACTACAACGAGACCTGCCCCATTACGCAGTAGACTGATAACAGAGGTAGACATGGCAATTCCAATGCCTGACGGGAAGTGACTCACCATTGAGAGGATCTAGCCAGCGACCATTGGATTTTGTAAATCCTGGAGGGCTGGGTGAATCGGTGGGAAGCGGTTTGCGTCGTTTCAAAGCTCCTGTTTCGTCGGGAATGTGATTGAGGAACTCGAGAACGTCTTCATCTTCCGCATCATGACGTCCCCAGATGGACGGTAGCGATGAGTGGTCCATATTTGGCATGGTTCTTTAGAGGAAGGAAGGGTTGACGTAAAAAATTGGTAGTGACGAGGTCAACTGATGGGCAAAGATGTCCGGCGACCGGCTCACTTTATGAATTGTCTTTGCAGACTTCCCTGCAACGTCTCAACATGGATGGCCAGCTAACCAAGGCCGAAGTGCGACCAGACTAGACCGGATAATAGTAGTTGCAATTCTCAGCTGCAGCTATATGCGGGATCCAGTGGAGTAAACGGCAGGTAATCAAGCAAGACGTGTTGAAATGCGCTGGATGGTCCTCTGCCAGGGGTGCAATAAAGCGGCGTGCAGGAGCTGCAGAAACAAGCGAGATGTCTATACAGCGGGCAGCTAAGACGCTTATGGTGGATGGCGAGGTGGCGGATGGATCAAGATGCTCTGCTGGAGGATGCAGAATGCGAGATGCGCGTAACGCAGTGTTAGATGGCGCCGCGCGAAGGTAGACGTGCGAAGCCGTGAAGGTGTAATGAATGCAGGACGCGGAAGCGGCCTATGGTGCCGATGGGTGTAGTGCTTTTGATAGTGCCGAGACGTGCGATGTGCTGCTGGCCGGATCGAGTTGAGGTGGTGGTTTACGTCGTCTGTGGTGCCGTGTCTGTGCTGACCGCGATCTTGCCGGGCAAGCTGCGAAGTCAAAGCAAAATGACGGGCCGAACTTGAGATATACCCACGCCGAAAGAAGGAAGGTAGAAGGCGGCTACGGCTCTGTTGACATGCAAGAGTCCTCAGAGGTTGGGTTGTGTCTGTGTGTTTGCTAGCCTAGCCGTGATTCAATGCGGTGGATGTGCCAAGAGAGCTGCGACGGGCGATGAACGATGGCCGATGACCGGGAGACGAGTGCACTGCAAGATGTGCAAGCTGAATCTCAATTCACAGTGCGGGTGAGCAATTGCCCTGAGTCGTGGTTGATGAGTTGAAGCTGGATAACTAGTGTTGACCGCCGGTGAAGAGACGCCTTGCAGCCAAGCGCAAAAGAGCCGAGCCACTAGTTGGAGATTAGAAAGCCATGCCAATAGGTAGGGCCCGAAGACGAAGGCTGCATAGGGGCTCGTGAGACAAAAAATAGTAGCGGCATTAAGGGAAATGTGTCTGTTGGTGCGCCTGGTCAATGCATCTGACGAAGTCACGTTGTAGAGAATTGGCTGTCTGATGAGGAAGCTGGCTGGTTGCGACAGGACGTAGGTTCAAGATGCAACGCAGGTGGGACCAGAGCTGGTGCGTGCTTTCCGCGAGCGTTTGCAGACTTCAACCACTTCGCCTAATTATTAAGAGCATAATGTGACAGCGGGACGGGAAAACTCTTCCTAGGTAGGTAGGTAAGGTACCCTTGCGAGTGCCGCAGACAACTTGAGTTGGACCGGTTTCTCAAACAATTTGGATTACAAGCTTGTGCTAACTCTTGCTCTCGGACAATGACAGATACAGCGAAGCCTCGGCCGTTGGTTAGACATCATTCTCTCCCCTCACACCTGTTGTCTGGCCCTCCCGCCGTCTCGTCATACACGAAAATTCCCGTCTTCAATTCATCCAGTCCCTTTCATCAAGCTGTCTTCTTCTTACCCCCCCTCAAGCTCTCCAGCAACTAAGCCGGATGCATACGCCCACGCCCGTTCGCGACGACAATGGAATGGCCGCGATATAGCCCCCACCGCGCTTTTATTATCCACTTGAAGAAGCCAGCTTCTAGTTAACTCTGAGGCGGGCAAGCGGGCCACTTGGGCCATTGTTCCCTTCTCGACTGGCGTGTCGCCACTGCACAGCAGACCACTAGTAACTAGGGGACTTGTCACGAACCTGCCCCCCTGTAACTAGACTACGAGTTGACCAGGTCGGTTGCAGGTACCGATAGAGGTGTTTGCTGATTAGTAGCCAACTACGAATTACCAGCCTTGCCGACGTTCCAGGGAACAGTCTTGACGTAGTGTTGCGCTAATCCGGCAGTGGAAAGTTTCTATCGGGTGCCGACAATGCTCCGGAGGCGAATTTCTACTTTCTGCTCAGCCCGTCCATTCGGTTCTCGCAGCACCGATATTTGTTATAGCAGTGAGCTATGGCGTGTGGTGGTAGCCCTGCCCTGCTCATCCGGTAACTTTGCACAGCTAGGGTCCCCGTACCAAGCAGGGGTAAAAACCTCGTGGTTCGCTGGAACCTGGACTCTTCTGGTCAGATACCCTTGTCCACATAGGAGAAAAAAAAAGCAATTGCCCGAGCTTCCTGTTCTGTGACACTGCGAGTGCCCTTCGACACAACAAGCATGCATGCGGCTGTCAGCGAGAAAGCAACAAGAAAGCAATGAGACAGTGCGACTCTAATGACTGTGAACAGAGCTAACGGGTGCTCGGCTCGGGTTTCTAGGTGCAAGAATCCAAAACATCCCGGTTGCTGCAGAAAAAGGTAGCATTCTGTGTACAGTTGTGTACAGCCGCAGGTCTATTATTAGAGCAACGAGCTTCCTGTTTGGGAGGGGATCTTGCACTAGAGCTACCACACCACCAAACTATGTCGTTCAGGCGGCCGAGCGAGCAGCCTTGGAATAAACTGGCAGCCAACTAATAACAATGCAGGGGACAATCACTCGTAATAAGCTGGCGGGCGCCGCCACCGCAACTAGCAAGAATGATGGATGCACCGGTGCTCTGGAGGCTAGCCGGCTCGACCATGGCGGAAATGGCCGCCAGGGACGAACACGCAGTCTATCCAACAGTCCACGAACCAAAATTCGCCTTTTTGGACATGGGTTGATACAATTGGCCTTGCTTGGCAGGCTTCTGATTTACGAAGGATCCTTGTGGCGGGACGAGGAGGCGGCGGCTTACAAAAGTACTGAGTTGCGCCTGGCTTGCGTAACGAGCCAGCTTTCACACCAACAAATTTGCCATTCTGGGCCCAAGCTCCAAGAACAAAAGGCCCTTGGCATTATCAACTAGTTGCATGGCGAGAAGCTGCCACGGTGGCGCATTGCTATGTCGTTGGGCTTATGGCATGGAGCCTCACAAAAGTGCCTGCGATGAATGAGGCACGGCCGAGGTCTGGTCTACGGTGTGAACAAATCAATTGGTTCAGAGCTTCTCCTCGGGCTACCTGTCGGTGTGCATAGGTGCATCGTCCTGTCATGGCAAGGGCATCGTGACACTAGTATTGAGACCTGCCTGATACTGTAGCCACCAAGGTATTAGTCCTGATCTAAAGCATCATGTGAAAGTCTGTCCACCATCCAACAAAATTGGCAAGGAAGCGAGCGAATGTTGGACTTGTTAGCTGGCCAGGGATGACGAGAGAGGCAAGTGAATAGTTAGAGTTCCCATATAGCATTGCGCCAGCAGCCAATTCACTATTTTACCAGCCGGTCCAGTGTAATCTTGACTGCTGACGAAAGTCAGATGGCGCTGTATGGTGCCTTGGCAGTTCAATAATGTCGTGGTCAGTCCGAAGTCATTTGTGGTTACGACATGGCTCTGCAAGCGCCGTCGTGGTCTATAGTGTTGCGCAGTTGCGCAGTTGGTTAGTGGTTTGGCTACCTACTTGTGGCTGCGCTGCTGGGAAGGAAGTTTGTACATTGTGTCGCCGGTCAGGGGATCTTGGCAATTGATAAATGAGGTGCATGTGATAGAAAAAACTGAGATGCACTGTTGAGGATTGTCTTGTCCGTTTGTAAGCTCTTTCGTCAGCTGGTATTTGCAACTTTCATCTGCCAGCTGCCAGCTGCAAACGCACTGATGGCAACGCTCCCATCAGTGGCAATGGAGCGCTGTTCACAAATATACTGGAGATTTATTCTTGCTATCCGCTTCTTCTTTATCCCTATTGCCGTTTATTATTATCCTCATCTTCACTTAGGTTTCTCTTGTTGTTCATTCTGTAGGTTCGTTCAATTTATCATCGCCAACCTTGGTACCCGGCCGGTATCTGTGTCGCACGCACTGGCTCCTTCCACATCTCTGGTCCCGAAAGTTTACTGATGCTCATCATCTTAAATCTGGCGACAGGCATCAGTTGCCCCCTCTGAACCATCCCGTCCCGTCCCGCCGGCGGAATCTCGGTCCTTGACCCCAGCAAGGCGAAACGAAACGAGCCTCGTCAGCAGCACATTATGTTGAGCAAACACCACCATCTCGACGAGCCATCATCCGCTAATTTGCACCCTAAGCCACTTCATACCGTGGCTGCCGCGAAACAACATCACTGGCTGATGGACGAAAATGGGTATGGACCGCCCTAGACAAGTTACGCTGCAACCCAGTGTCCGGCGCCACTGGCGAGTCGGGCTGCATTGATTGCCCAGCTTGTCCGACGGTTCCAGGATGAGGCGTCGCCGTGTCTTTTGGCTGGTAGTCCCAAACCTCATGTCCCACGACCCAGTGTCCCTATATCTTCTGGTTGCGGAAAGATCCTCGTCCGTCCTCTCGATATTACCCTTCGATCCATGCCGCCGCCGACTCAATTTGTCAGAAAATTGTTTGGCTTCCCAGGCAGGCTGCCGCGTGTCTGCCTCCCAACATCGCGTCATGCCCGCGCCCGACTAGGCAGGTAACCCAGCAGGGCGGAAGCTTACTTGGCTCGCCTTAGTCAAGTTGGTGCATACGCCACCCCCAGACTCTGGTTATCTGACAAGATAAGAATAAGACAGGCCGTCGTGTGCGGTGCGCGGGCGGCGACATGCGAGGTTGGGTAGCAAGGTTGTGAGCAGAATAGGCCGATCAATGACGCCAGGGGCACTAACACAAGTGGTGCTGTTGGTTGATGAACGGTGGGGTGGCTGCCACCGTGGCTGTTCAAAGCCAGACACATCAACCCTCACATCCTCGCCAAGCAACCTTCAGCCTGTTGCCAGCCGGCCCTTTTCGTCACACATTATTGCATGCTGCTGCTCAAGTCGCCGTCGCACCACGAGGAGTCGCATTTCTGACTCTTGGTTGCAAAAAAACCCAACGTGCAGCATCGCTGAATCGACCCCGCGTCGCAGACCGCCCCTCCACCATGGCGTCACTAATACCCTTCATCTCGGAGATTCTCCCCATGATCATGCCCGCCTCCACCCACGTTACCGCGGCCAAGGATCTCCAGCCGACCCATCCAACTGTCGAGGGGCCCGTGATAAGGCGTGCCGCAGTCGTCGACCGCTGCGACAAGATGTGCGCCTCTGGTAAGCTTGACCACCATTGACCACCTCCTTCGCGCACACACAATACATCACACCACTCACTACCCACTCTTTTCGTTGCTTACCCCGGGCTCTTCGGTCTATTCCTACCCCCTCAATGCAACCGCGTATCTTTCCTACCCCCTGCCGGACCACGAGGTATAACTATTTTAAGCAGTTCTCACAACCCGGCCCCAGTCTAGCACGCCAGTCCGTCATAACAGCGAACAGGGTATGTCTTGCCACGCCTCGGCTAGCTCCTCATCGACAGAAGCGTGATGATAACCGGGCTAGGCTGACCTGTGCATCCTAGATGCCATCATATATGCCGTCTCCGGTACCGGCGTCCTCCTTGTCAATGAGAACTTTAACGAGGAACGGCGACAGCACCCTCTGACTGCCGGAGATTTCGCCTTCGTTCCAGCCTGGACAGAGCACCAAATTCAAAATGATACCGACACCGACCTCGTCATGGTTGTCATCCAAAGTGGCCCACGCCCCGTTGGCGCTATCCTGACGGATTGGGGAGGTGACGAGCTTGCTGCGGATATATCCAGCGAGTAAGATGTTCATCGTTCCGTTACTTCTTGCGGTCTTGCTATCTATATTATCTCGTCGTTCTTTCTATGTTTACTGGTCTTATAATCTTTTCTATTGGTCTTATGTCTAATTAGCGAAGTTCATGGACTCGCCCCGCCCGCGTAGGTAGACAAGGGCGCTCAGTTGTCCCCCAAGGGAAGGCTGATTGTGACACGTCAATCCTTCGCCTCGGCCAGTATGCACTTTATAATCTTGCTGTAATCTGATGGCGTGTCAAAAACCTGCGCGTGATCCAGTTGAGGAAACCAGAGTACGCCGACACAGGACTCCGCATTACCTCCTCCCGCCGCATTCTCTGGCTCCCGTAAGTATTCCGCCACCGCAGGCGCGTTGACAATGATGTCCTTGGCGGCCAGGCTGACGGTGACTCGCCGGTGGCCCCCGCCACCTGGACGCCTCAGCAGGTCCTCCTTCCAGACAATGTTTTGCCGCCAAAAGAAGTGCCGTCCCAGCACCGTAGCAGTGCCAACGTCGGCGCTCGCAAAGTACCACAGCTGCCACTCGGCCGCGGTCCGCGGTCGCCGCCGCGTAAAGTTATAGGCTACATGCGGCAGCTGCAGCAGCACCGTGACGGGGTCGACGAGCGTGACTGCGCGGACGCGGCGGCTCAGCGCGTCATCACCCGTGAGGATGTGCGTCGTGGGCACGGAGCCGTACGAGTGCGAGACAATGGCAAAGTCGTCCCAGCCATGCGCGTCAACGATGGCGGTAAACGCTTCGAGAAAGGCGCGCTTGTCGAGTGGCGGCGACGTGAGCCGAAACGACACGGGCAGCATCTCGACGGCAATAATCCGAATGCCAGGGCTGTTGCCCTCCTGCCTCGATTGGACGTCGGCGGCTTTGACCAGGTCAAAAAGGAACCGGAGATAGGTGAGAAGCCCGACGCCGATGCCGTGGAGGAATACCACCGGTAGCGGCTCTCGGTCCCCGGCCCGCGCCGCCCGGGACGGCGGCCCGTAGTACCAGTATCCCAGCTTCGGCGCCGGCGACTTGAAACTGCTGAGCAGCTCCTGCGGCCGCGGCGGAAACGTCGCAAGCACCTCAGCGGTGCTGCTCCGGCCGTACAAGCGGAACCCGTAGCCGCGCAGCAGCGCGCACGTAGCGGCGTCTACCAGGGCCATGACGGCGTACCACGCGAGCCCGCGGTACGCCGTCTCGACAGGCTCCAGCGTCAGCCGCAGGCTCTTGGCCGTGCCCCGGCCCTCTGCGAAGCGGTGTCCAAGGCGCTCCTCAAGCGTGGCTACGTAGCCGTCCATTTCCTCGCGCATTGCCGGGTCCTCTGCGTCGGCGTCAAAAAAAGCCCAGCATAAGAACTCGCGCACGCTGTCGTGCCCGATATCTCCGAGCGGCGCGCCGAGGAACCACCCGCGCAGGTACGCGGCTGGGTCGCGCGCGTGCG